TGGCATAGGCATGGTCATAGGTGCTGGCAAGCTCAGCTGGCTCATCATCCAATGGGGCTTCAAGCTCCCCATAGTAGCCAGCGTTAACATCGAATTCAGGGTCGTCCCCATAGTCGTCACAGTCAGGCTCAGGTGCCCAATCATCCTCTCCCCAGTAGCCTTCTTTCTTCATAGGCTTCCCAGACTTCAGGATCCTCCTCCATGGCCGCATAACCACGACCTTTCCAGCGCGAGAAGCGCTTGTCCTTTTCCGGTGCCCAGCCTCCAGACTTGTAATCCTGACCGAAGAGCAGGTAGATGGCCTCAATGACGTTGTTCTTCTCGAGGGTCGGTGCCTTCAAGGTCACCAGCTGACGTTGCTCACGAGACAGGCCAGCTCTTCTCAAGAGGTGCCATCCTTGAACTGCAGCTGGAAGAGTCACCTTGTGTCGGTTCAGGCGTCTGTAGGCCTCATCGTAATCGGTGAAGTAGAATTCGAAGTCGTTGGGGAGTGTGACACTGTCATCATACTCATAGTTCTAATCCAACTTGGACAGGATCTTGGAGAAGGAATCCTCTTTCTCAGTATCATCAACTAAGAAATCCTCAAAAAGACGCCAGGTGACGCCCTAAAAGCTTCCGAAGATGTTGAGGATAGACTCGCCTTACCGCTTGCTAAGCTGCATCAACCTCTTGCGATACTCTCGGTAATCGCTTGGTTGTCCTAAAAAGACCGGGACATAAGAATCGCGCAGTTTGAGGAATTCGGCGGTCTCTTTGCCATTTCTACCTGCGTCGGCATTTTTCTTCAAATAGGTGGTCGTTATTCGAAAGCGCTCAACAAAAGAGACAATAAACGTGTTAATAACACAAGACTTAAGCAGAGCCCCGTTAACCTCAAAATATAGCTCGCAAAGCCCCCGAAGGACTCCGTTACCAATATCGAAATAACAAAGCCGACAACCGAAATCCGGCAATACACCGCACCCGCAACGCATTTCAACGCACAAGCGCTCCCTTAAATTGGAAAAATGCGTATAATCAAAATCTCAAAAATTTTCTCAATCGTTCGTAACCCTCAATACACAACGTACAATTATCCCACCCATTTTCATATTAATATAATGTCGATAAATTTACCGATATTCAAAAAGACCTTACCGCGTTATATACATATCGAATAGAATATTTAATTTATATATTCCATTAAAAATAACATCATTATATTTATTCCTATCCCCTTAATTTATTCTATGAAAGATTTTATAATATTACAATAACTAATCCTCAATATTGCAGCAATTAATATTTAATATTTATAAATATATAATATGTTTTATACTATTAATATATTATATTTCTTCATAAATTCAAATATTATTTCAATTTAAGAATATTAAATCCAAAATAATCATCGACATAATCCATTTCGGAATAAAATAATCGAAAAAAAGAAAACGAGAAATTAAAACATAAATTCCAAAAGAAAGAACATATATTTAAAAAACAATCAATTCTAAGAAAGAATATTACATTCAGATTATTAATATCCATTATTAAATCCGGAAGAATCCATATTTGCTTCGCAAAAGAAATACGAAGCATCCGCTAAAGGGCTACCTTTTCGTGACAAAAACCATATATATATATATATTTCAAAAAAAAATACTATTTATTTGTTTGTTTCAAGAATATTTCCAACCAATGTGTAATATCTTGCATCGATTTGACCTGGATACAATCAAGCTAAATTGCATTAGATTTTATATTTTACATCCTAGACAGTGTCTGTAGCATTTGCCAGAAGAATCATTATAATGTGCAAGCTGCAAACCTGTCTTTGATTCCAAGGCACGGCTTGGAAGGCTGCAATTTGTGTGCCTTGCTTTTCGCAAGCGAAGAGTTCCTTGGCAATTGGAAAGCCACGCAATTTTTCTCGTGACGCAGTGAAGGTCCGCAATAAAGCACAGCAGCAAATCAGGATAAGCTTGTGTATTTCTTGTCTCAAAGAACCATAAAACACCAAGACTCCACATCATAAGTTGCTATGGTAGCTGTCAACCTGGCGGATTTGCTCCTTTCACCCCACCAAGAAACCTCTTGTAGCTCTACCAATTCCGTACCGTTATCCGGCCACTGTGCAACGAATCCAAACCAGGCATCAAATCGCTGGACAAACTGGGAAAACCTGCTCCTAGTGATGTTCCTAGTGCCTCCAATAGATTCAATAGACAGGTAGAATTTCTTGCGACCAGTCAGCCGTGCAATCATGTTCCCTCATGCGCATTGCAAACACCTTGGGTAGTCATGGGCCAGGTTTTTGTGTCTTTGCTGAAACCGTGCTCAAGGTAGGAAAATACAGTGACTAAGGTGGAATTGAGCTTGCATGGGCCTGCTGTATGAGATCAAGGGATTCAGTTTCAGTCCATCTTTCGACTTCAGCCCTGAGAGAGAGACAGAGAGAGAGAGAGAGAGATAGAGATAGATTCTTAACGCGTAGTAGTGGCAAACATTGATAGGCTTCATGGTATCTTCTTTGTGCACATGTCTTTTCAAGGACAGCCATGGGTCACTGTCATATGAATATCGTTCGGCCGGGCAATGTTCTGCCTGCGCAGGCGCATGGATTGTAAGAGCGGTTTGATCATCTGGGAGCCGCTTGCGCGCATAGCAAGGAGCAAGCTGTTGTAAGTCACCTTCCGAGGCCAATACGTCAACATGGGAAAATCCTTTCAGAATTTACTCGGTCTCTTACAGAACGTGTATGGCAACTGGTGAACCGTCCAACTTCACAGTGGTGATGTTTGCGCATTGAACGCAAAAAAAACATCTTTCTGGATATGCTGAGACTTGATTTGGCTCAATAGGAACATCATAGCCTTTTTGCTACTAGGAGCAAGGGCATCTCTACTAGTAACAAAGGGCGTCGCTACGAACAAAGCAAGGACGCTACGAACGGGGCGCTCCTCATATCATGAGGCAATACGGAAGTCATCGGCAATGTTTGTCTCAGGCTAGACGATCCAGGGCGGAACCGAGGCTTGGGAAGCCAATTTCGGGGGAAGAGGACCAGGGGCCGACTGAAAGGAACGGTGTCAGAGCGGTTGGATTGCGCAAAAAGGCACGAACGTCAGTCAATTGCATTCCTCTTCGACAAGGCAAGGCTTCTTTCAAACCCTCTGCTGGCAACCAACTCGGATTAAAAGGACTCTGGCGTCAAATACAGACTGGGAGACAAGCTTCAAGACCACAAACAACTGGCACTAAGAGAAGACATTGCTTCCAGCTCTCTGACGGAAAATGTAATACCAAAGCGATTCCAAAACAAATTGTCCATGTTTTGTGTCAACTGCGTGCCGGGTTACGATGGTTGGATCGACTGCAACTGCATTCAAGTCCTGGATGGCCAGAAAAGCTTTGCCACGGCTAAAGCACTTCACCCAAAAAGTTCTACTCAGTTCACTCAGTTCATTAGAATCCCTTGAGGAAGCTTTCAGGATGCCTCCACCAAGCCCAAAGCTTGTCGCCAGTACCTTTGAAGGTCTAATCAAGTCCCAATTCGCTCTCTGTGTGAACCAGCTGTGTACTGTACTGAGAATTTCAAACTTGACCGCATAGAGTAGCTGTGACTGGAGCCTGCAAACCTCGCAGGCAGCAATGGTGGCACCAGTGACCACGGCACTCAAAGCCTTCGCAAGAAACCGAGCTGTTATCACCATGCGAAAGCACCACTGAATGCACCTGCATCATACCAAGCAAAGCAAGCTAAGAACTGCAATACGCCAGATTCTTGAAGACATGCTTGTCCCCCCCGTCCAAACTGTGAACATATGTGAGAACACATGCCTGATGGGTCTTGGATACAGCAAGCATTGCTAACGCTTGGGTCCAAGCCTTGCACCAATGCGCATGTGTCGACTCACACACTTTATGACGCATGTGTCGTGTGGCCAGACGATGTTGTTCCCTTCTTTCTCCTCTGGACCGTTGGAGTCTTCTTTGTCCGGTCCCTTCCTTTCTTATCTTTCTATCTGTCTTTCTTTCATTCCATATGTATATATATATATGTGTTTATAGTATGTCTTCGGCAACGTTCGCCAGAATGAACAGCTTCAACCAACTTCAGCACTTGACAACTGCCAAGACGCGCCAAGAGAACATGCTGCAGTCAGGGAGGTCCAAGTCACCGCATTGGGCTTCAGAAACAAAGACCGCATCTCCTGGAGTTGTTGCAACAAGAAACACTTGAAGTGTTGGACGTGTTGCATTCACTGTGCGTTTAAACTGTTTCGACCAAAACACCTTTTTGCTGTTGACGTTGGATTCATTTTCTGTGTGGTCAACACTTCTTCCAACGTGGCTTTGAACAACAAGCAGGAGAGAACCAAGGCGGAAAACAGGGAAGCTGATAGAAGCAGAACAGCGAGGAAGACACGAAAGGTAATGAATACGACCAGGAAAAGCCAGAATCCAAAATACACCGTCACATAAAGACCGCCCCGCAGCCGTCAAGCAGAGAGAGAGAGAGAGAGACAGGGAGGGAGGGAGGGAGGGAGAGAGAGATGGAGAGAGAGATGGAGAGAGAGATGGAGCAGGGAACATTCACATCAACTCAGCTCGCCCCCAGCACTGCTCTATCCTCCATAGACTTCCCAGAATTGCATCACAAGTCACCACAAAGTCCGCTCAGGAAGGGAATATGGCTCTTTTGGAAACGCAACATAGAAGCCAGTGCCGCAATACTCTTGTCACTTTTACGGTGAATCATCGCACTGAAGTCTGAAAGAACTGATCACAGTCTACGGACTGTACAAGTCGGGCAAATCCTGCATAAGACCCAGGGCGGTTTGCCACTGTTGGCCTCGACCACAAGCATTGATACCTGGGGAGAAAACTTGAACTACATGAATCAATGAAGAGCCAACCGTGTGAACTCTGCAAGACTTGTCATTGTATTCATTGTATTCAATAGAAGCACCACACAAGGGCACACGCGCTGTATGCCACAGCGTCTGCCTTGCCTAAAAGGCCGAAAATGGCCAGCGCATTTTGCCACGCATGCGCTCCTCGCAAGGGGATCGAAGCAGGTCTTTCTCACGACTTGCAAAAGGGTGTCCAGTTGCGGTTCGGGCCACCTGGTGATTTGTGACTTTGGTATACAGATGTATACAGTATTACGTAAGCTTTTTCGTGAAGACGATGGCCTTGCCAACTCGAAATGAGGGAACAGTTTCAGAGTCAGGCCAAGATTCGCATACCCCTCACAATGGTTAGCATGGTTAGCGCGTGCAAACACAATGTGAGTTTGGCAAACCTCGTGTAATATGGCCGTGTCTTATCTTATTGGTGCAAAAGCATCACATTATCAATACCATGGTCCATGGTACATTATGCTGCACCCTTCAAAACTGCAGTATATTAGGAAAACAACACTACCAGTACCCCTCAGGTGCTTTCTTCATCACACCTTCCAGGCCTGCACTGAAAACCCTCTCTTTGCGAGGCGTCCACAGCGTCTGGTTCTTTTCCTTCCGCCTTTGTGTCATGGTTTGTGTTATCCAAAACAAGACGAATGCTAAGAGCTTGTGTTCCGCCTTTCTGTCGAGTCTGCTTCCTCACTGAAATCCCCTTGAACCGGTGTGCTGTCAACCTGTCCTTCACAGGCAGTGATGCAAGCACTGAAGGCAATGACATCCTGGGAGCTCTACACCGTGAGAAGGATAACTCGTGAAGCCAGGCCGGCACGTGATGCACGTCTTGGAAAGTCCACGCAGCTTTCAGGCATGCAAACTCAAATGACCTTGCAAGTTTATTGAACTCAGAAGCCCATTGAATATCAATCCGTGATTCCTATGGTAACAAGGTGATGTGACAGCAAGAACACTACGTCATACGCAAAGCCTGTTCTCGACAACGCTCAACTGAATCATAGTAATCATAGCGTCTTCACTTGATCACTGAAGAAAAAACATGTGCTCATGTTTTAGAAACGCTGAACAGTACTCTGTGGAGTTAAAACTCCCGGCCCGGCTTTGGGGCTTTTGCTGTCCAAAAGATCATATCTGTCATATGTGTGAATTGTAGTTTCTGAGAAAGTACCAAAAAACACCGATGAGAACATCCCTTTTAATACTGAAGGCCAATTTAAAGAGGGCCTCGTTAAGGGGGCACTTACCTTCGTTCTTTCTCTTTGTGAACTGAACTTCCTCCAACTTGGCCCTCCATCCCTCCGCCCGCCCTCCCCCCCATCAGACAAACTCTGCCGGAACTCTGCGCCGGGTGGCGCTTTCCGCGCCAAGCTTAAAAGGCATACGGCTCGCTGCCATAGTTGTTGCGCAGCACAAGCACTGATAGCTGCATTGCACAAAGCACCTGGACTTGTTGCACAAAGCTTCTCTTGATTCGGTTCATTTTGCTGTCTCAAAAACAATAAATCGACAGCCAGTCCTTTATCCACATTCCTTTCTTTTTTTAAGAACAAAGACCATGGGTGACATGTCAATGTGTCCATTACCAACTGGCTCTCCACAAAGGATCGAATTAAACACGTATTATATGGTGAGTATGATGAGCTTCAGCAAAGGCGTAAGGAACTTCCACCAAAGAAACTGAGCATATCCAAGTACAAAAACATTTTCTTGAAGCATAATCAACTTGTTTCAGCCGACTGTTTTTTGGGAAGGGATACAACTAGAAAAGGATGTTACATGAGAGTCATGAGAGGTTTACTTGTGTTCCTGACATTCTGAGGCATCCCAAAATACCCACTGGAAAGCACGGCTAAGGACAAAGTAATGACTGTTCAGCTTTCCGTGCTTAACAAGTAGTCTCTTTTGCAACTGAGATTCTGGTGTGCATACCGAGGTCTTCGGCCGTTTGCAAGAGCCTTGGAAGCAATCGTCTCGTTGATAAAATGGCGATGGTGCACGGAAATGTCGTCCAATCCATCTGAGAACTCAGCAGCAGCGAAAACTCCCACCATTGCCTTGGCACGTGTCCCTACAGTAGACGGACAACATATTTCAACCCCCTGAGTCAGGGAGCTGTCACGAGCCCGCACCCCCAAAGTTCGATGTTGAAAGCAACTTCTTTCAATTTGCATTAGAGTTTGATTTGTTTCGTCCATTGCCCACACACTCTGGCAGGCGTGTTTACATTGGGTTTTGGGGTGGAAGGGATCAAGGTGGTTTGGAGGGCTTAAATATTTCTTCCATCTACGGTAGTGCAACTCGGCTTCGAGTTTCATGTCAGAGGACACAAAGAAACCTTGCTTGTTGCAATTGTATGAATAGATGTTGCTATGACGTAGATGACCAGCCAAACATGGTCACAACAGCTAGTGGGGGCGGACGATACCACGACCGGCGCCCACCTCTGTGCCAGCGTAGTCAGGGACACAGTAGTCAATGGCCTCAAACGGAACGTGGCTTGCAACCATATTCACTCTCACAGTCAAATCAGTACCTCATGTTTCCTCATGCATTCTGATTGTCATTCTACAACATCCGGCTGTTGTCCAGTTTGTGAAAGCACCACAATGTGTGTGGTGAAGATACAAAAATCCTTATAGGAAAGGCCGAGTCGTACTGTCCAAGCAACCGGACAGGTTGGCGGCAGGGGCCTGCTTCAAGAGAGCATGCGCTTGTGGCCACCTTTGGCCGCATAAAAGGTGGAGCAAAATCCATCAGTGACACTTCTGCATACTCATGTATGCATTGTATACTTGTGTTTACTGCATTATCCCATAGTGGAAAATCGATGGCACAGACCATGGCGAAACACAATCTGTGGACCAAATCACAAGAACAAATTCATCCCAAGCGGTCTGAGACCGCAATGGCGTTGCGGCCTGCCAGCATCATTGGCAGCGCTTGCCAGCGAGTTCCACAGGACAATGTCGGACTCCAAAGAGCGAAATCTCAGGGGCTTTGATGGCTTCGGTGACGCACATTTCCATTTCATTGACATAATACATATTATATATATATATTACAATATACTATACTGTAGTAAAGTATAATATAAGGCAACACGGGGCAGTATCTTGGCCATTCCAAAATGGCACGGCGGTTTGTCCTTTTGCTCGCAGGGTGAGACCAAACATGACCAACAGCAATTAGGCAGTCCAAATTCACAGGACTGCCTACCATCACCTACCCCTATCTACCATTGAATGTTACTTTCCTTCTGTCCTTCTCGCCTTTCAATCGAATCGGCAGGCGAGCGAGTCTCAGGCATACAATAAAGAAGTTGCGACCCGGTGGGTTCACCGGAATCGGGTGAGACTTCGGAAAACATCAGAACTCCAACTCCAAGACCTTAGTGTTGTGAATGCAAAGGCAGAAGCTCAGAAGACTTGGAAGTGTAAAGGCCCTTAGTCATGGCTTGTTCTGCTACAAGGTTCTGTAGTGAATCGTTTCTTGATGTTCTTGGACAGCACTCATCTTCCCTGTTTTTGAGGTGCAACTTCAACCCTGTCTGAGCTTTTCATGATCGTCAGCAGCTTTCAGTTGTATTCCCCTCGAATTACTTTAGTTCTCTCACTGAGTTGCCGCATAACTCGAAGACCGTCAAGAAAGACTGGGCCAAAGAAATACAGTATGTCTATACGTGCATGCAATGGAGTCGTTGATGGCCGGTGGCAAACCCAGCCTTATGAGGTAAATGTATGCCGCCAAACCTTGAAGGGACTCTTGTGGATGGTGCACTTCATCCACTGACAAAGACCAACGTACGGAAGGGGCAGCACCTTTGTGCATCATTGTGTCACAATGTGCCTAGGATAGGTGTATTTGGGGTGCGGTCGTTGAATGCATGTAAGCCTTTGTGGTTCTGGAATGAAAGGCAAGGAGTGAAAGTATGGCAAGAAGTGTGCACTGAGTTAGGACATGTTAGGACCGCTGTTGTTCGAGTCCAAGAGTATATAAATGACGACTCTCCGACTTCACCCTTCGACTCTCTGGTCGTGTTCCTCCAAATAAGGGCACAGGATACTTTTTGTGGTGCAATTGTCACAACAGGTTGGAGCCCCGAGGCATCTGAACATGTTCAGAGCTGAAGGTGAGTTCAACCAAATCCTGTTTGAGTGAAACCACATACTCTTGAGGTCTCCAAAGCAGCGTGAACCAAGTAGTTCTTCCATTCTTTGCAATTTGTAAAGCAGCGCCTTTTGCGGACCTGATTGTCGTTCTCCGTGCAAATTCCTTCCATCACCCATTTTTCTGGCCACTTATTGATGATATTCATTCGCGCTTGTCCTTCTCATGCACTTTCAATATCAGTGACATTCACTGAGACTGTTTTCACACGTAAATCTAATTTTCTTGGATCCATTTGTCGGAGTAGAGATAAGAAAAGCACGGTTGGGCTCTCTATTTTTTCTTGACATCACTGTTCTGAACTTTGAGAGAGCTGCAAGGACATCCTGTCAAGAAGTCGCTTAACTTCTCTTGTTACTTCTTAACCACCTACCATGTTGGTGTCCCTATCTTGCTTACTTTGATGGGCGTCTTGCAATTACTCCTGTCCTGTCTCAAGGACGTAAGCGCACTAACAACAGCAGGAGCAACCCGACCAGCAGCAGAAGCAGCACTCACGATACGGGACAGAATGCTTTGCAACACTGTCACAACTGCAATGAGATTACTCTCAATTATGACAACAGCTACAAAAAGCCCAGCAACAATGTGGCTACTAGGGGCTCCTGGCCTTACTACTAGGAGCAAGAAGCTCCTAGGGGCTCCTGGCATCGCTACTAGGAGCAAGGACGCTACGAACGGGGCGCTCCTGGCCTTACTACTAGGAGCAAGAACAATCAACTCGACTCTTGAAGCACAACATCGACGATTAAGCGATGCAAACCCTCGGTTGCTGCGATTCACGATCGTCGTGCAAAAACAAGTAGCTGCCAAAATGTTGCCTAGACCTCGGACCTAGGCTCAAGGGTGCGCTGCTTGCAAGCATCTATAGTTACGGAACCTAGCATAAAACTGCACCAAGTCTGTCATAGCGAATGAAGCCAAATGAGATGCGTCTGAAGCAAATGTCAACAGCCAAAGGAATTGACTACTGGCCAAGGACTGGGCATTACTCTCCATAAGGGAAGCACACTTCTGAATTGCTGAAGGCCCTGAAATTGAGCAATGGCAGGGTCAAGAAGATCAGTTAAAGCCTCCACAATCTATGGTTCTGCTCGCATCATATGCATTCAAGATTCTCGCACATTGGCGTGCTTTGCTCCTCCAGCCACCGGGAACAGGGCTTGTTAATATCCTAGGTGAAGAGACTGAAGATACTGTATCCAGTCGGTCAATCAGGCCAACTTGGCGCAGGAGGGCAATATTATGAGCAATGAGAAGAGCAATGGAGAGAAGAAAGAACTCATTGCTCTTGGAAAGGCTGCAACAAGAATCCTACATGAAATGCAAATTCGGCTGCACTTGATTGCTCTTTGCTCCCGGCATGAGGGAAATTTGGAATAACTTGCTGGAGGTAGGCCAGGTAAACATAAGCCCAAACCTAAGTAGGAAAGTGGCAAGGGTGACTCTGGATAACGAATGACAGGTTATAGAGCAAGCAGCTCTGCAGCGCTGTGTGATATTCCAACTATAGTATAGTATATGTCATGTTCGATTTGACACTTACATTGCACTCATTGCATGAACACCGTTGAGAAGAGAAAGATTCATTCGCTTACACTTGTGCCATGGAACTTCCAACAAGAGTGGGGTCGGAGCATTTAAGTGCTGCCAAGGGGCCATACACAGAATGAGCAGAGAAAGCTTCCAAATTATGGTGGACACGATCCTTGCTTCGGTCTTCTTTGGCTTCCCATCCTGCCCAGTGCTGCATGCCCGCGACGACATCTCTGTGAATGGTGTTCACAACTTCGTTTCCACTTGCACTTTTTTCTCTTCGCGAAGAGTGGTATCTTTGATATGATCACTTTAATGACCTGACGCAATTGAATTCGTTTGGACAAGCCTATCTGGTTTCCTAATTGTAACTGCACCCCTGATACCAGCTCCAGCATCAGCAACGACATGAAAGGCTATCTACTGCACCAGAACATTCACTGTGTGAATCAAAGGAATTACTTGAAGCAGGTCAAGGTTTATCTGTAGTTTCGATTGGAGAGCGGTCCTCGAAAACATGGATCAGTTTCGTTTTCTCAATGGTCTGCTTCATTCTCAAAGGAGCAAAGGCATCCAGAATGAGTTCATCAATGCTAATCACCTGCAATGTTCAAACCATTGTTTGCACGATTAAATTAAGTCCTCTAAAGGAACTTTGAAGGTACATGGTTTCTGAGCTTGAGACAAATTCTAGCGCCAAGGCATTCAGAATCAGATCCTTCAAAGGCGCCGGGGTGTGCGACAACCGCGCCTTCTTAAAGACAAAGCCAGACCGAATTTCCATGTTAGTCGGTTCAAACGCAGGTTGCAGCACGGGGCATCGGCAAATCGTATACTTCCACATCAAAGAGTCCTCCCAAGACTCAGTCGCTGCAAACCAGCGACATCCACCCCAAAGGAGGATGACCCCAATGGCAAGTTTCCTGAAAGGGGCATGTGGCAAGAAATCTCAGGGCAAGCAACTTCAATCCCTTGAAGGACCCTTCACCGCCAAAGCAACGTGGTTTACAGCAACATTGACGGAATGTTCCTTATTCCATTGACGGAATGTTCGTGAGATCTTCATCCCAGGCTCGGCAACGTCACACACAGCGCCAAGCAAATTCTTGCGGGCATTTCGATGTGCACCACATCCAAGCTCTCCACCTCATTTCTGTCATAATTGAAATTGAGCCTTAGGCGGAGTTGGAGACAGCGCAACGTCTGCCAGTGACAGGGCGCAAACAAGTTTGCGAACAAAACAAGTGCACAGTGTTGGCTACAGTATCCAAGGCGCACTGTGTGTCTTTTCAGCATTGGTTCTGAATCATGTGATTCCAAACCATGGCTTTGATGTCCAGGATGGAGAGGCACTTTGAAGATGTCAAGGGTCAGCTGCAAGCAAGTGGTCACTTCGCTCAGCATCCTGTCTGTGACCAGTTTCATGAGCTGCGCGCGCGCGCGTCTTCTTTCATATTGTAGTCCCTTTACTGTACAACAAAGTGTTGGCAACTTACTCATAAAAACAACGTGAATCTAGAATTGCAATAGGCACGTGCAATCAATGCTGACGTTTTTGCATAGTAGTGTATAGCTCTGAACAGGACCTCGTCCAAGCATGCTTCAAGCCAGTAGACCCAAGGTAAAAACCTAAATAGACAAACCCAACAAAACATGGCAACATGTGGACTTATGACGCACAAGACTTTACAGCCGGGTGCAAAACACAGGAAAGATTCCCCCGTACGTCCTTTGCTTAGTGACACCTGTACCCCGTTGTGGAGTTCTCAAGCTGTTCCCCTTGTTTCCGACTGAGATTACACGTGTTTGTGTTCTTCCAACAGGTTTCCAAGCGTAGATCGATCGGCAATTGCTCTTGGTACTTTGATCGACCCGGTCATTGAGAAGGTTCCGGACTATGCCAACTCCGCATCTCTCCCAACTGTTGCAAGTGCGTAATTGTATGTGGACGTGTGAACAGTAAAATGTGAAATTATGTCGCACCTTTCTGCTTTGTCCTCAACACTCAAGCAGGCGAATTCTTTCTCGGCCAATTTTCCACATGTCGTGGATTGTACGTGCTTCGATTGCCACAGGAAACATCTAAGCTCTGCTGATCCACACTCAACCGTCGACTCCATCTGCCTTTTGTCGGAAGCGTGGATTTCATGTCGTGATCGCGGTTGTATCCGATGGTGGAATGCATCCCTGTTGAAAGCGGAGTCTGGCCCCACCAGATTTCCGGAGTGTTCCAACTCTGAGAACTCGTCGCAATTGCAATCCAAAAGCCGGTTCGAACATAGTGCAATATTCAACGACACAGCCACAGTCTCGTAGGTCGTACACCAAGAAACCCGACAAAGGACCATCACGCCAACGTCTTACCCGCCAAGAAACCAAAACCGGCTCAACGCTCGCGGCTAAACCAGACACAACCTGACAAGGTCTAAAGCTACAAGTATAAAGGTGGGAACCCTCGGTGTGATAGCCTAATGCGCGCACACGCAACGCCCCCCGGCCACCAGAATGAAGAGCCACAACCAGACAAGTGAATCAACCCCACGTAACGAACTGACAGCCACCACATGAACTTGAAGAAGAAACTCATCACAACATTTTGTTACTACACCCCCCACCCCCAAGAGCATGCAAGCAAAGCACGGCATGGTAGCAAAGTGCGAGAGGCGCTGTTACCAAAAACATGTGCAACTGCACTAGTGCCACGTCTTTTTTATGTCAATTTCCAGCACCTGATCGTCCAAAGAAAAATGATGGTTGAAGTGAATGAGATTTTGGACAGTGCCATACTGCAAAGCTCGGCCTTAGTGTGATATCTTGCCAAAAGACAAAAACAACAAGGGACTCTGAAAGTGCCTTCAGCTGCATCTCTGAAATGTCTCTAGTTGAAGCCATGGCTCTTTTGGTCCATCCCAATCAAGCCAAACATCGTGAAGGAAATTCCCCTTCGAGTCGAAGACTTGGCGATGATATTCGATATAGTTTTCCTGCACATCCGTCGCCAAATGGTCAGCCGGAAACAGCAAATGACAATAGCGGCCAGCACTGCTCTCCTGGGTCTTGTGAACCGACCCTGGCATGTCTCACGAACATAGGGCTTTCTGTTGAACATCAATGGCGTGCACAAGTCTATAAGTTCAGCTGTGGCACGCGTGACTATAAATTCGGTCACTTTGTTGACAATCCTCAAAGCGATGCGCTTTCTTAAATACTAAATGCCAGCACATAACAAGCTTTTTGCAACTTGCAAGTGCCACCATGTGCTCGAGAAGCAGAAGCTGCAAGTATAACACTCTTCACTTTTGTGTTGTGGAACCGAAACCCTGTTTGTATAGAGGGCACAAAGGGCTCATTGCCCACCCGAAGATAGCACACGTCAGCTGGATCAACACAACACAGGAAGAAGTGCGGCAATGCTGTAGATAGATTTCTCGATGAAGCTGCAAGTTATAAAGCCCTTCTAGAAATCTTGGAGCTTGAGTCAACTGGAAGAACCTGGTAGCAAAGGAGAAACTGTCGCAGCACTTGAGATCAAGAAAGCTCAAGACATGATTGAGAGTGCTCTTAGAAGCATGACTTGGGATGGTTTTGGGAGGGCGGGAGGATAGCCACAAATGATGTCCTGGAAATGCTACAGCAAGACAAAGAGCAAGACAAAGACCTATATCTGCTATTCTCCCCACTGCCAAGAACTGGAAACAGCCGTCACAGATCTATATATATATATACAACCAGTATGTTTTATATGTTAGTATAAATCTTAGGTACAAGCAGTGAACCACCAACCCGCCACCAGGAAGGACCATCTTGTCCGTAGTCTCTATTCAAAGTAGAGAGACAGAAGGGAAAGGACAAAGACTTCTAAACTCCTGATGAAGAGAGGAGTCCACAAATTCTTCCCGCTCCCCCGAACCTCTCCATACATTTGCTGCGTTGCGCCAGGCTTCATGAATTGTAACCACAGGTTGAGCGCTAGGCATCCAAGGCCGAAGATCAACCGCAGCACATGGAAACTGAGTAGCTTAGTACGAGAAAGCAAAGCATCCCTTTTAAGTCCGCGACAGCAATCAGCAAACATACCAGAAGCCAGCAAATTTTGTGCAAATCCACAGACAAAGGCCAGTGCGTTGCCCTCCCGCCGTGAATGAGATGTGGCAAGTCGCTGGTGGCCTCAGGTGAGCACAACTTTGCACTTGCGACTTTCTCAAAAGAAAGTAGGCCATCACTCTCAGGTTGGAGGCCATCGCTCTTAGGTTGGAGGCCATTGCCCTCAGGTTGGAGGCCATCGCTCCTGGGTTGGAGGCCATCGCTCTTAGGTTGGAGGCCATCGCTCTTAGGT